GTTCAGGATTAGAGTCCCTGTTTCCCGGGTCTCAGCTCAGGGGCAGAGTGCCTGCAGAAGATTCCGGGTTCGATTCCCGACGGCAGTTCCCAGCAGGGCTGGGAAAGGCTTTCCAAAATACTGGAGAGTTGCTGCAAGCCAGTGTAGGGTGTCCAGAGCTCATTGGCCCAGAGGCCCAACTCAGTTTTCTACTTAAACCAACCCTTCACCCAGGACAATGAGAACTAGAATATTGCCTTGTTTTTAGGAGAAGCCAATAGCTTTGCATGCAAAAGGTTGCAGGTTCAATCCCCGGCAATCTCCAGCTGTATTTACATTTTGCCTACGATTTCTTTTTGGGGCAGCGGCCGAACAGGAAACACGGAGGGAAAGGTTAAAGGCCACGGCCTGCCAGGAAAGGGCCAGCTTTTGTTAAATAAGGTGCTTTCATTTATTTTATTTTAGATTCCTCTTCCATCAGTTGCTGGTTGATAAACCAGCAAACCAAAATTAAGTGCTTTTTAATAATAATAATAATAGTAATAATAATAATAAGTAGGTGAACTTTTTTTTAGCATTTTGGGGTGGGTGTAGATGGATCCAGTAGAATTACAGAATCAGAGCTAAAATCCGGGGTGCCAACTTGAATAAAATATTGGGGAAGGGGCAGCAAGTATAACCGATCGCACAACTGATCGCAAGACGCAAGATTTGAACGGCGATGCCCATCAACCTTTGGAGAGAAGCGGTCCCCTCAAAGTTTATTGGGGACCCCGAAGGGACCTTGGCCCCTAGGAGTTGGCTCCTACAGTTAGAAGGGGCCTCTGCAATGCCAGAATCCCAACATGGGGTCCCCCATCCAGTTTGAAACCACACCGGACCCTGCTTAGCTTTGCAAACGTGCTGGCTGCCTTTCTTGCCTACAGAATACATTCTTAACCTGAAAATGCATTGACGTCATCAACAAGGCTAATAAGTGGTCTTACCTTGACAACGTCAGGGTTTTTAAAATGGCGTTTCCACCCTACATCTATTGCTCCCTGGCAAGGAAGGACCTGTCAACTTCCTTTCCCTGTCTTCCTAATTTTTTCCCAGTCTTAGATTCAGTTCTCTGCAGCAATTCGCCAAAAATAAAGCCCTCGCAAAAATTCGCTGGCATTTTCCCCATGCAGATTTCTCCCAACGAACACATTTCCCACATGCGGTTTTTGACTGTCGTGCACATTTTCGCGAGCTGTTCCCCTCCTCGTTCAATGCAATTATTTTTTTTGCAAATGTTCTTTGGCCGGAGAACAGCATTGCAAAATTCAGATGAATGCAACTTTCAAAAAGCGGTTGTGTTTCGGTTTTCCTTCGGGGAGGGCGAATGTGATAGCTCTGCAGTTAAATGCGAACTGAACCAATTTTTTTATCCATCCCTTGGATTCAACAGCGTGCCAATTTTCATGGGTGTAAATATTCCGAGAGCTAAATTTGGAGCTAAATTTGGTAAGCCGGCGAGGCTACCGACATGTCAATCATCTGATCTCATGATGAGTCCTGGACTATGTTCCTTCCAGATTTTTTTAATTTCTTGGGGTCTCCAAACAAGGAAGGGCGCTCTTAGCTTTTGCAGCCTGAGTAGGTAGTATTCTGGGATGCCGGGAAAGACCTCACCGCTCAGAGCTTTCCCGGAAGCCAGCTGCCATGGAAATTTCCTCTCCCCCCCCCTTTTATAAAGCGTTCAAACCGCAGTCACCATCCCACCTGCTCAACCGAACGAAAGCAAGCGAAATTGCAGAAAGCCGGCGAGTTAAAAAAGGATGAACTTTTCTCGCGCCCGACGCCCCACATTCACAAAGTTCCTTTTTCAAGATGGGGGAAATGTCCCATTTTGGGGGGACGATGGTGGGGTGGGCGATATAGGATGGAAGGATTCTAGCGTCGGGGAAAAACAGAGTTGGAACCCCAGAGAAGACCCATCGGATTTAATGGGTGCAAATTAGCCACAACCACACATCTCCATAGGTCTGTTGGGATGGTGATTCCCTTGGTTATAACTTTTAGGTTCAAATGTGCCTATGGTACAATTCTGCCACTGTTCATTAATTCCCCCCGCTGCACCCCCCCGAAAACCCTGCCTTTCCCCCAGGCACCGACAAGAGGTAGCAACAGATATGGCTATCTCTGCTTCCCTACTTTTGATACCAACTTTTCAAAACAAAACCCACCTTAAAAATCCATGCCCTCACCTGTTTAGTTTCAGGGTGCTCAAAGCCGTCTTCAGAGGAGTCTACTGTTCTCTCTCTGCATGAGTCACTGAACCAGACACGGCTCATCCTTAGGAAAGAATTCAATTCTGCCGAGCCTGGGCTCTGAATGGATGACATCGCCTCACTCCCACCAAGGACAGGCCAGTTGAGAGCAGGGCTGGGGCCCGATCCGGCGCGTCCCTCTTGCGTTCTCACCAGCCCAAAGCAGTATTGCAGGCACAGACCAACCCCGCCAAGAAGGGACTGGAAGACAGCCAAGCGGGCAGAGACTCACTCAGAGAGGCGGCGGGCGCCCTCTTCTGCTCTCAAATGCTGGAGGAGTTAGCTGGCCTGTTTGCAACCCAGAGCATGCAAAGACCTTTCTGTTGAAACAAACAACACCCCCCCCAAAAAACCTAGAACCTCACGGTATTTTCCTGCACCTCGCCCCACTTCGAAACATCCACACACCTACGTCTGACTCTCCCTCAATCTACTCCAGAGACCGAACGCTGAATGCAAGGGGAAATAGAAAGTTGGGGCTGGAATAAGCTCTCCGAGGATTTCTTGCAAGCGGGGGCGAGAGGACACCCCCCAAAAAAACCCCAACCAGTCCTTCTCTGCCACGCTTGCCAACTTTGACCTATTAGAAAGAAGTCATCAAGATTTGCAAAATTCAAGCCTAGCCCCAACTCTTCCAACAGGCAAGGCGATTTAATTTCGCCGCCGCTGATAATTAAGAGATTACCTACAGGGGGCGCCGCATATTGGGGGAAAAACCCCTCCCCATTTTTCATTTGCGTTCGTGACTGGAAGACGTGGAACCGCAGCCACGGCGGAAATCGCCTCTGCCGCCCCATGTTAGCACTGACTGGCGGGTGGCGGCGCAGGATTCAAATTCTCATTGCTCGTCTCTCGGGGGGGGGTGTGGGGGGGTGATGTCTACAGTCTTAGAACACCAGCTTCTCCCCCCAAAAAAAACCACACCCAGAGGGTATTTTTGAAGGTGTTTTTTTGCAACGGTGATGGTGAAGCGGAACCTCCAGTGGCAGGAGCAAGAGACAGGCTGGTCCCATTTTTGGGGTGCCCGGGGGGTCAATCTGGGGTGATAATGTTGCAAATGCTGTTGACAAGTTTTTTTTGGGATGCTACAGGCCAGCCCTTCCCGAAGCTCGTAGTTCCCCGTTGGAGGGCAGTGAGATTCCGGAGGGGGGCAAGGGGGCAGTTGAGGGGCACCGAAAAACCAATACAGTGGACGCTCAGGTTGCAAACGTGATCCGTGCAGCATGCACTTTCGCAACCCGCAGTGTCACGTCTGCGCGGGTTGTGATTCGGCGCTTCTGCGCATGCGCAAAGAGCGATCTAGCGCTTCTGCGCATGCGCGACCCCCCAAACCCGGAAGTAACCCGTTCCGGTACTTCCGGGTTTCGGTGGGCCCGTAAATGCAACCTGAAGCGCCTGTAACTCAAGGTATGGCTGTACTGTTCATTCGCTTTGCTGAGTTCCTTAAACTAAATAGTTTCGATCGGAATTGGCGTAAGTGTGGAATTAATCGCGGCCGTTTTGAATTGTATTCTGTTGTTACGCTCCTGCAAATCGCTTATTCGAATACTTTTTTTTTTATAGGGCAGGCATGGGAGATGAGCTTATTATGGGATGAAAGGGAAAAGTTTGGGAACTGCTGGTCTAGACAGACCCTGGGTCTCATCCGGGCACAGAGACCTCCAACTTTCTTTCGGAGAAATGGCAAGAGCTGTTAAGACAGGGGAACGGCCTCGGAACGGACTCTTCTTCCTTATAGGGTATTTAAATCAAAGTTGCGTGGAAAGTTTTTGACGTTTTATAGTGTTTTTTAACATTTTGTTTCGAGCCGGCCGCAGGGGCTGGGGCATCGTGCAAATTATAAAATTATTATTATTACTATTACTATTATTATTATTATTATCTGCGATCCCTGCCTTGCAGGGGGCTGGAATAGAGGACCTTTGAGGTCCCCTTTCCAACTGTACAATACTATGATTTGTTGAGGCCGAGCCAGTGCAAATACTACTGAAGGGGAAACAGCTAACAGCCTCTCATGTCTTGGGGTTCGTTTGTTTTTTAAAGACACACTGGACTCTGACTTGGTGAGACTCCCAGCACAAAGGTCCTTTAACCGCCTCTGAGAAATCAACCGCTCTGAAATGTGTGACGACCCCCCCCCAAAAAAACGGACTGCTGGCAATCGAAGGAATCCCAGCAGAGCTCTGTACATGCTACAAGCCCCCAAAGCGAGCTCCGCCGGCAGACCGTGAGACGTCGAATCTCGGGGTTTTGGATTCGAGTCCTGCGATACGGTGGCGTTGGGCTGGATGACCCCATGGGGTCCCTTCCGACTCGATGATCCTAGGAGTTAGGAAGGGACTGTGTAGCCCGCGAGGACCGGGAACAGTTCGAGAGCGGTCCCGATTCACCCCCTTGTCGACGCCACGGTTGCCTCCGCGTAAACAGGTGGGGTGGGTTGTGGGAATGGCACAAAGCCGCCAAACCTGTTGAGTTGAAGAGGCATGTGGCCCTCTCTGGCCCTCTCCTTCTATCCAGGGGCATTTATGGGGTGGGGTGGGACAAAGGGAGTACAGTGGTGCCTCGCAAGACGAAATTAATCCGTTCCGCGAGTCTCTTCGTCTTGCGGTTTTTTCGTCTTGGGAAGCACGGCTCTTAGCGGCTTAGCGGCTCTTAGCGGCTTAAAGAAAAAGGAAACAAACTCGCAAGACGTTTTGTCTTGCGACGCAAGCCCATAGGGAAATTCGTCTTGCGGAATGACTCAAAAAACGGAAAACCCATTCGTCTAGCGAGTTTTTCGTCTTGCGAGGCATTCGTCTTGCGGGGCACCACTGTACAATGTCCCGTGCACCCCGCGTGAGTTTGTGAACGGGAGAAGAGGCACCCGTGCCAATTCGAACCTGTGCGCGCGGAAACACGCCCCACCTCTTTGCACAAGCCCAGAACACTGAACCCCCTCAAATCCATCTCGGCCACCCGGCAGCCTCTTTCAGAAACTTCGGGATCAACGCAAAAAGGAAAGAATTAAAAAACAGCAACCGAAAACCCTCGCTTCACTTCCTCCATTGCAATTTGCCCTCGCGCGACCCCGTCCGTAATGCTGATTTTTTTTTAAAAAAAGGCAATAATTCCCCCCAACCCACCCCGCATACCTCCCCCTACCCCATACACGCATTAAAAGCATGCAAACAGATCTGTGCATTAAATCTCATTAAAGTTAATACATCTTTCTTTTCTGTAGAAGGCAAGGCACATTATGTGGTATAAAACATCTTTCTCTCGTTTTTTTTCGTTTTTTCGTTTTTTGTTTTCTCTCGTGCAAATTCGGGCGGGGAGGGGGGGGCGAGGCGGGGCGGGGCGGGAGCGGTGGATTTCTTCTCCCAACCCCCACCCCGTTTCGTTCCTCATCGGAAAGGCGGAGCCAAGTTTTTTTGGGGGGGAAGGCGAGAAGGGGGCGGGGCCTATGTATTCTTGCCATGCACACATTCTCAGCCAGCTGATTGGTTGAGCTAGGTCACATGAGTTCCTGTTCCGAAAGCACCATGCAGTCTATAGTGGCAAAGGGTTAAAAAAAATCTCTCTTGGTTCCTTCCGGAAACCTCTCCACCAATTGCAAATATACGCTTTATGATTTCCGTTTTAAAAAATAATAACCACCCCCGTGGGAAGGTAACCAGCTTTGTGGTTTAATTTCAGCTTGGAGAAAACCCATGGTTTTTTGTGTTTTTTTTTCCCGGGGGGTGCGGGACGGGGTTGTGGGGCGCTCCCAACCCACTACTGGCTAAACCTGGCGTCAACATTTCTCGTTATATAAAGGTGCAGAGATGTAAACAAGAGTCGCTGGGAACTGCCCTCCCTTTCCGCCAAACGCTGCCCATTGGAGGGGAGGGCCTTGGGGTTACCTAGCAAAGTGTCTCCCCCTCCCCCATGGCCTCGGAGGAGGAAGTGGAGGGGTCAGGAGGGGGCAGGTGGGTTTTTGCATATGCAAACGCAAGCCCCAGGTGGGTGGAGAAGCCACAGCCCCTGAGGATAAGTCGCGAGCGACGTCATTGTTGGAAGCATCATTCAGAGGGGCGACAGGCACTGCGGCCCCAATCTTTCAGGCCGCGAAGCTGGGCTGAAGACAGAAGACCCATGGGAACGGGGGAAAGTCCTCCTGGGAATCGCACGAGACCAGGCCAAAGGTCCCCCAAAACCGCTGCTGTTTTGACTGGAGGAGCTGTGCCGGAGAAGTCCGTGCTTTTTCTCAAAAGCTCACAGCTCTTCTTCTTCTTTTCCTTTTTGTACATCTGAAGGCTCAGAGACTCCTGGGCGAAGGAGATTGGGTGCGCCACAAACCGGTTTGGGCTCAGCGGTTAAAAAACAACAACCCCAAACGTATAAAAACCAGAACCAACACCCCTCACATTTCAGCTAGGAGACAGGAACAGATTCGAGAATTCTGGGGCTTTAAAAGCCAGCCTGGCATTTATGTTGGGGAGAAACTCACCCAAGGATGGATTTCATCTCTGGGGCTGGTGGCGGAAAGCTCCAAGATATTCTGGATCAAAATGTCATCTGGGTTCTTCCTGGCACATCTAGGGTGCAAAAACATCCACCTCTTTTGCACCAGTTCGACAACCGCCATGGCTTCTCCCCCAACGAACGCCGGAAACTATAGTTTGGAGAGCACAGGCAGGGAGAATGCAGCCTTGCAGATGGTCCCAAACTCCCGGCGACTACTGATTGCGGTTCGCGGCTTCCAAAACTTCCTTCTCCTTTCTCGGCGCACCATGCTGTCGTTCCAGCTGGTCTGCTTGGACGGGCCGCTGCTGGATGAGGGCCGCATTGCCCTCTGCACCTCACATGTCTCTCCCTAGAGCCTCGATCGCTTCCAAACACGCAGAGGGAAACTCTCCGGGGATCGTTTCAAAGGATCTCCACTTTTGCTGAAGAGGAGAAGGACCCGTCTGAAGCGAAGGCGGCGCTCCCCAGACTTTGCAGAAAACTGTGGCATCGGCAGCGGCGCAAGGACTCTTGCACGGCCCTCCATCGCTGATGCTTCCGTTGCAATGTCTGCGTTGCAGCCGGTTGGACTCAGAGACCCTGGGAAAAGGGGGCGACCCCCCTCCCAGCTCAGCAATTCTACAGTTCTGCGAACGACGGGAGGAGATCAGGTCCGTGGTGTTTTAAAGCTTTGGTGTTCACTAGGAAAAGAGGGTGTTGGTTGGGGCGCGAGGCGTTATTGAAATGACGCTCTCTCGGAGCACTACAAGTTCAGCTCGGATCGGGGCCTGCGCCCGCGGTCGCCGCTTTCTCCGTAACCCGGCGAGGAGGACTGGCGCGTTAAAATGTAGGCACTTGTACCAGTCAGAGATGGCTTCTGGGCTCCACGGTCTGGGGCTTGCGGGAGGGCAGGAATGGGGAGGGAAAGGATAAATTGAGTCCTAGAGGGAGGGGGCAACTGTGGGGTAAGGTAAGGCCTCCCCACGCCTCTGCTGGATTTAGCTATTTTGTCCTGAAAGACTCACTCCAATAAGGCCCCGTTCTGTGCCTCCCTGGTGGTCGCCTCTTGACAGCACCCCCCCTCAAAGAATAACAAAAAAGCACTAGGGGGAGACGGCCTTCCTCACCTCGTCCCCCCCCCCACGTAAACTCCCCCTCCCGCCCCGACCTTCCTTTCTCCTTTTCAAAGTGCATTTCCTACAACAATAATAATGTGCAATCCATATTAGCAGTCCCGTCCCTGGCCTCGCCGCCATCCACGCCACCCCCCTGACATAGCTGGTTTAACTATAACATGCATAGCTCTTTGTACACAAGGGCTGGGGGGTGGTTGTTTGCAGGGCAAATGGGGAGGGGGGATGCCACCAGCTCGCTCACATCCCTCCACAAGCCCCCTTCGCCCGCCGAGCCGGGGGCCCGGTCCTCAAATGTACGCAAACCCGCCGGCACGTCACCTTTCCCAAACCTCCCTCCTAAAGGGGTTTTGCCAGGCGGGTGGACAAAGGTGGGGGCTTGAGGGGAGACGTGGAACCCCACCCCGGCCGCAAACCCGCTCCCCGTAAGAGAGCAGGATGGCAATTCTCCGCGTGTGCCGGGCAGGGAACCCGTTCTCTCGGCCTCCCGTCCAACTTTAAGGCAAGGGTTCGAGACAGACCTCTAGTACCATGCGGGAAATTGGGGTGCTGTTTAAACACAGCGTACGGCCGTATCCAACCCCCTGCCTGGCGTTGGAAGAAATCGTGCCGCGCCAACCCTTCAAGTTTCCAAAGGGTTGTGGGTTTTTTTTGCACGTGCGGCGTTTGGGCTCTGCCTGCGTGGACGCAGCTCGGGTCTACCCTCCAACCGACAGCCCCTTTTGACCAACCCTGTCTTCTGCACCCCCCTCCCTGCCCGTCCCACCCCCTTTCCCGAAGATGGCATCTTTCAAACGTGCTTTTACGCGCATCTGGGTGGAAAGAGCGCAGTTGCGGAAACGCGCTCCGTTCTTCCTCCGCCGAAGAAATCTCGCTAAACACCCTGTCATGCGGTGGGTGCCGCGGGCGGAACCCCCCTACGGGGAAGCAAAGCGCAGGTTATTTTGTAGGGGGGGAGGGATTGGGGCCACAGACATGGCATAAAAGGTGTCCAGCTTTTCTCCCTCGCGGGAGAGGGGGTTTGCTACCTCCGCCGTCTCGACGCGCCACGGAGATCCGTCGTGCGCGCCGTTCCGTCGTCTTCTCCGGAGAAGGAAGGCGGTGTGCAAAAGGGGAGCGGGGTGGGGGGGTGGGAAGGTGCTGGAGGGGGCGGCAGCAGGCCAGGAATTACGCCCCCCCTCACTCTAGTCTCTCTCTTTTCCACCCCTTCACGCCCAAGGGGAGAAAAAAGATCAGGAACATTTTGCATATAACATCCCTTTTGAGAACGGAACTGGCGGGGTGGCCGCGAGGCGCGATACGTCCTCTATCCAAAGTAGTGTTCGTTTCTGGCCCCCCAAGACTTGTCAGACGGGGTTGTGGGCTGGGCAGGCGAGTCTTCGCTACGTTCGTTTTTTAAAACATTTTGCAAAAGTTTGGACCTTCTTCCTGTGACGCCAAGGACTCCCGAAGTCAAGTCCGGCCGTCGCCCCTCTCTCCGCACCGCCATCAAGGTTTGAGCCAGGGGGGGTCGGGAGTGGGTGTGAATCGTTCTCCTCGGAGGAAGCCCAAAGCCCGGGAGGGGGGGTGAGGGGGGTGAGGAAGATGAAGGTCCAAATGTAAGCTGCGGTTAACCTAAATACCAGGACTGGAGGACAAGAGGGGAGAGAAAGAGAAAGTGGAAACAAGAGAAAATTATTTCCCCCCCAAAAATCATATATATATATATATATTATTTTCAACATTTATCACCTAACAAAAGTGCTAGCCAGATACTTTGGGGGTCGTCTGCAAATTAAGGTTTGCCTATTAAAGGTAAAGGGACCCCTGACCATTAGGTCCAGTCGTGGCCGACTCTGGGGTTGCAGCGCTCATCTCGCTTTACTGGCCGAGGGAGCCGGCGTACAGCTTCCGGGTCATGTGGCCAGCAGGACTGAGCCGCTTCTGGCGATCCAGAGCAGCGCACGGAAACGCCGTTTACCATCCCGCCGGAGCGGTACCTATTTATCTACTTGCACTTTGACGTGCTTTCGAACTGCTAGGTTGGCAGGAGCAGGGACCGAGCAACGGGAGCTCACCCGTGGCGGGGATTCGAACCGCCGACCTTCTGATCGGCAAGTCCTGGCCTCTGTGGTTTAACCCACAGCGCCACCCGCGTGTAGTTTTTGCAAATAGCCAGCAGGTGGCAGCACAGCCTTTTGGACTCTGTTTCTAGCGAGAGCTATTCCAGACATAGAATTATAGTTTTCAAAGAGATATTGGGGATCATTCTGGTTCAGCCCCCTGGAATGCAGGAATAAGCGGCTGGGTTTTTGCCAAAAGACCCAGGAAGAGTCTTAGACCATCACAATTTCACTTCCCTGAAAAAACTCAAGAACCAGGCATGGAATAATCACTCTGCGTGTGTTTGCGATGGGAAAAAGCAGGTGTAGAAATTTAGCGCTGAGCCCAGTGTCTGCTTCCCCCGGAAACTCAGCATTTTTAAAATTTTATTTTTTAAATCAAGTCGCTAGTCCTCAATATATTCCCCAGTGGTAGTGACGGGGGTTGCACCACCGCCAAATTACGTCCCTACAGGTTGCAGCATTCGCTTTCCTGAGAATTTCAGCTTAAATAACCCATTTCTTTTGGGATTATGGACAATTTTTTTCTGGAGGCCCCATTGGCGAAAGCGCGCCTTGGGTTACAACCTGTTTTGGTTTGCAAACGGACCTCTGGAATGGATTATGGTTGTAAACCAAGGTAAGGTAAGGTAAAGGGACCCCTGACCGTTAGGTCCAGTCGCGGCCGACTCTGGGGTTGCGGCGCTCATCTCGCTTTACTGGCCGAGGGAGCTGGCGTACAGCTTCCGGGTCATATGGCCAGCAGGACTAAGCCGCTTCTGGCGAACCAGAGCAGCGCACGGAAACGCCGTTTACCTTCCCGCCGGAGCGGTACCTATTTATCTACTTGCACTTTGTGCTTTTGAACTGCTAGGTTGGCAGGAGCAGGGACCGAGCAACGGGAGCTCACCCCGTCATTGCGGGGATTCGAACCACCAACCTTCTGATCGGCAAGTCCTAGGCTCTGTGGTTTAACCCACAGCGCCACCACTGTAAAATAAAAGCTGTGAACCAGTGCCGGATTTACGTATAAGCTAAACAAGCTACAGCTTAGGGTCCCACTCTCTAGGGGGCCCCAAAAAAGTTTAAAACTGGATGTACATTTCGTAAATATAAGATAAAAAAGAAATAGAATAAAATCTACATGCAGCAACATTGTTTTGTGTTGTGTAGGCTCCTGTGATGTAAGTCCTGGGCCCCGCCTGCTCCCTAAAATATCCCTGCTTTGCTCCTTTCTATATATAGGGTGCCTACATTCTGCATGTGCAAATGGCTTGACATACCTGTTAGGTCCATAATTTACCATATAGCATATATTCAACACACAAAAAAGCGGCCATTTGTTGTTGGCAAAGGACAGCTGGACATAGGAAGGGCCCCATTACTTTTCAGGAAATTAGGGCCTCATCCGGCACTGGCTTTAGCTGAGGTTCCTACATTGCAAGGGGTTCGAATGGATGACCCCTGGGGTTCCCTTATCGCTCTACGATTCCACGACCTGCAAGACATCTTGGCTGGAGGTGTTTGTGCGTGGAGAGAGAGGCTGCGCCATAATTCCTACTGCGTCTAACAAGCTTTTTTCCTCCCCTCCCCTCCTTTTTTTTTTTTTTTTTTGCAGATTCAGCAGATCTCGGCTGGCGAGAGCGATTTCCCCTCCGCGCTCCTCCTCTCCTAGCCAGCCACCCGCAGTCTCCGCACTGCCTCTCCTCTGCAGTCAATTCCCCCCCCGCAAGAAACCCCCCCCCACAAAACACACCCAGACCCATATATGCCCTCTGGGATATTCCAACTGCGGCACGGAGAATCGTGCGTGAAAAGAGAGATTTGCGGGCCGGCCGCGTGGATCTGACCCCCCGTCTCCCTGCCTGATGAAGGCAGAAGATTTTGCAGAGGGAGGAAAAGGTCACACGGATCGCTTCTTCGGACACCCGGCCAAAGACGTGTCAAATCTTTTATTTCCCTTTTATGAAAATTACCCACTTTGAGACCCCACAGCTAATTCTCCCTGGTCTCCTCGCTGGCCCAAGTAGGACCAATTCAGCCAGCTAGCCGTGGTGATCATCTAATCCTTATTAGATGGATTTCCCCTAAATTGATTCCTGAGCTTTGAATTTTATTGTTATTTATGTTTTCATGCTGTGTTTTATGCTGCTTTTACAATTGTTTTAAATTTGTTGTGAGCCTGGTGTTTGAACCGGGAAGGGCGGGGTATAAATAAAAATATATTATTATTATTCATTATTATTATTATTAATTGAGGGGAAAGCACGCACCCAAAATGTGTCTGTTTGCGAAACGGGTTTGCGAAAAGGCATTCATCTCGCCGCCTTTTCCTCCCTTGGGACGTCTCAGAATTGCAAGTTAGCTGTCTGGCCTGCGTCACAGAATCAAAGGACTGTAGAGTTCCAGAGGGACCCCTAGGGGTCATCCATCTCAACCCCCTTTGCAATGCAGGAATTTCAGCTAAAACATCCCTGACAGAGAGCCATTCGAACTCTGCTTAAAGACCTCTGAGGAAGACTTCCATTCCACAGCCGAACAGCTCTTACTGCCAGAAAGTTTCCCCTGATAATTTCGTTGGAATTTCCTTTGGTGGCGAAGGGGTAGAAGGAAGAAGAAGCCCCGACAATAATAAACTACAAGAATTTGCTGAAATGGCTATATCAGGCATAGGCAAACCCCAGCCCTCCAGATGTTTGGGACTACAACTCCCATCATCCCTAGCTAACAAGACCAGTGGTCAGGGATGATGGGAATTGTAGTCCTAAACATCTGGAGGGCTGGAGTTTGCCTATGCCTGAGCTATATAATCCCTAGTGTAGTAAGATAAGACATGTGGAGCAGGCATTTAAAAAAGAAAGTTTTTTAATGAACTGCCCTAAAGGTAAAGGGACCCCTGACCATTAGGTCCAGTCGTGGCCGACTCTGGGGTTGTGGCGCTCATCTCGCTTTACTGGCCGTACAGCTTCCGGGTCATGTGGCCAGCAGGACTAAGCCGCTTCTGGCGAACCAGAGCAGCGCACGGAAATGCCATTTACCTTCCCGCCGGAGTGGTACCTATTTATCTACTTGCACTTTGACGTGCTTTCGAAGTGCTAGGTTGGCAGGAGCAGGGACCGAGCAACGGGAGCTCACCCCGTCATTGCGGGGATTCGAACCGCCGACCTTCTGATCAGCAAGCCCTAGGCTCTGTGGTTTAACCCACAGCGCCACCCGCGTCCCTATGAACCGCCCTAGTAGGGCAGTAATTGTTACTTGATAAATTGTCACCCCCCTCTATGGTGGCACCTGGGACGGACCGTCTACCCTTCCTATGCCCCTGCCCACAATCCTTGACCACTCACTGGTCAAGCTGGCTGCGGGAGGACGGAGAAAGCAAAGGGTCCGGTCACCTTCGGAGGTCCGCAGGTCTCCCCCAACCCAGGTCCGAGAAGAGGAATTCCTCCATCGCCGTGACCCCGAGGAAGAGTTAGGCGGACTCACCTGCGCCTGATAAATGCTGCCAGGGTCCCGTCCTAGTCCCACGAAGCGGTTCGCAGGGGGTGTGCCTGGGGCGGAGTAGGCTGAGGAAGGGAAGGAGGGAGAGGGGACAGGAAGAAAGGAGGGGGGACACAGCACGGTTTAGAAAAGAAACGCAAAACAAACCCCCGACCACCAATTCCTACCCATTCGTGCGGAAACCTCCTGGAATAATCTTCCTTCCTTCCTTCTTTCCTTCCTTCCTATCTTTCCTTCCTTCCTTCCTCTCCCTCTCTCCTTCCTTCCTTCCTTCCTTCCTTCCTTCCTTCCTTCTTATCTTCCTTCCTTCCTTCCTTCCTTCCTTCCTTCCTTCCTTCCTTCCTCCCTCCCTCCCTCCCTCCCTTCTTTCCCTTCCTCCTTCCTTCCTTCCTTCCTTCCTTCCTTCCTTCCTTCCTTCTTATCTTCCTTCCTTCTTATCTTCCTTCCTTCCTTCCTTCCATCTCCTTCCTTCTTATCTCCTCCTCCCTTCCTTCCTTCCTTCCTTCCTTCCTTCCTTCCTTCCTTCCTTCCTTCCTTCCTATCTTCCTTCCTTCTTATCTTCCTTCTTATCTTCCTTCCTTCCTTCAATTTATATGCCCCCCCTTCATCACAAAATCTCAGAGCAGCTCACAGGACAAAATACGAGGTAAAGACCACAAGCAAACAGTTAAAACGACAAACAACCCATCTCCTTCCCACAAACACATTTAAGAGGCTGCAGAATGCCGAACGGGATGGACTGTGCAGAAACGGCAAAGCCGGCGGCGAAATTAAGAGAGCGAAATGACGAACTTGTTATAGAAGAAGGGGAGCCTATTTATAATATATTTACATATATTAACAGTCAAAGTAAATTGTGGGCGGGAGTAGAGATAAAAGCAGCGGGAGGAAAACGACAAAACGACAAGAGAAACTTTGCATAATGAACGCGCCACAGCAGCCTCTCTGCGGAGGCCTTTCCACAAACTTTTCTTTCTTTCTTTCTTTCTTTCTTTCTTTCTTTCTTCTTTCTTTCTTTCTTTCTTTCTTTCTTTCTTTCCTTCCTTCCTTCCTTCCTTCCTTCCTTCCTTCTGCCATCACTTGCCTCCTTCCATTACTTATTCTTCCTTCCTTCCTCCCTCCCTTCCTTCCTCCCTTCCTCCCTTCCTTCCTCTTTCTTTCCCTTCCTTCCTTCCTTCCTTCCTTCCTTCCTCCCTCCCTCCCTCCCTCCCTCCTCCCTTCCTCCCTCCCTTCCTTCCTTCCTCTTTCTTTCCCTTCCTCCCTCCCTCCCTCCCTCCCTCCCTTCCTCTTTCTTTCCCTCCCTCCCTCCCTCCCTCCCTCCCTCCCTCCCTCTTTCTTTCCCTTCCTTCCTCCCTTCCTTCCTTCCTCTTTCTTTCCCTTCCTTCCTTCCTTCCTTCCTTCCTTCCTTCCTTTCTTGTCCTTGTGGTTACCCTGAGGACACAGCAGAAATATTTGCTGCTGCCCCCTCTGCCCCCCGGGCTCTCAAGCACACCAATCTACAATTTTATTTTATTTTCCCCTTTTTTATTGCATCCCTAGCCCCCCTATCTTTCAAAGAGCTCAAGGTGGTGTTCGCGCTCCTCATTACCATCCTACAACGACCCTGCAAGGTGGGAGAGGCTGAAAGATCGGGACTGGCCCCAGGCAGAGTTCTAAATTCGCCAGGCTCCTTTTGCAACCGAGTGAAGATTCCCGGGTGCCAGGATAAAGGATCCTTGAACCTTGCCTGTTTTCCCACACTGGCAACACCCCCTGCAGAATTCTACACGCCATTATTTCATCCGTACAACCGGAATGAATTTCAGGAACCAAAAAGTTGTCTTCAAAACTGCAAGCTTCTAACCGCCTGGCCCCTCAAAATGGCAACTTAGAATCCGCACAGTCCAAAGCAAACAGATCTAGGTCAGTGTCTCAGCCTCAAAACACAACATTGCCTATATTGGCTCCCAGGACGTTTCCGAGCACAATTCAAAGTGTTGGCGCTGACCTTGAATGCCCTAAACGGCCCAGTATCCCCGAAAGAGCGTCTCCATCCCCATCATCCACCCCGGACACCTGGGTCCATCTCCCAAGGGCCTTCTGTCGGTTCCCTCCCTGCGAGAAGCGAGGTTACAGGGAACCAGGCAGAGGGCCTTCTCGGTGGTGGCGCCCACCCTGTGGAACGCCCTCCCGTCAGATGTCAAGGAAATAAACAACTATATGACTTTTTGAAGACAGCCCTGTATGGGGAAGTTTCCAACACTTGAATTTTATTCTGGTTTTATATGGGTCGGAAGCCGTCCAGCGTGGCTGCGGCGACCCGGTCAGTTGGGCAGGGTTCAAATTATCATTCATATAATGATTATGCGGTTTCCCATCGTTTCCAGCGGTTTAAGGAAATGAAAAGGGACTTTATCACAGTGCCTGGTTGTGTAAAAAGATTCTGGGATTCCTAGCTAAGGGCAGAGGAACTGAGTGAGTTTTGTTTTAGATTCCAGTGTGGCCTTTTGGGTTAAAGGATGCAAACCTGTGTTCTGTTTTTAAGCTATAAGGAACATTCATTAAACAGGGTCATTGTGCACCAATTCTCATCGGTTCCAGACAGCATAGGGACGGTATGGCGAGAGTCTGGCAATATCTGAAGGGTCACAGGTTCCCTGCCAGGTATTTAAGAAGAATTCGCAGCCGCAAAGATGCTATTAGCCCAGAGATGGAAATAAGCGATAACCCCGGCCAGATAAGAATGGCAAACCAAGTTGATGGACGGTGCCAAAATGGCAAAATTCACTGGGAAGCTCAGGAATCAAGAAGACAAGGACTTTGAAAAAGAACGGGGAAAGTTTATCATTTATATGTGAGACCCTTGTGAGCAGGTCCAGCTCCGAGGGCCTTCCGGCGGTTCCCTCCCTGCGAGAAGCGCGGTTACAGGGAACCAGGCAGAGGGCCTTCTCGGTGGTGGCACCCTCCCATCAGATGTCAAGGAAATAAACAGCTTTCTGACTTTTAGAAGACACTTCAAAGCAGCTCTGTTTAGGGAAGTTTTTAATGTTTGGTATTTTTAATCTTTTTAATATTAGGGGGACGCGGGTGGCGCTGTGGATAAAACCTCAGTGCCTAGGGCTTGCCGATCGCATGGTTGGCGGTTCGAATCCCCGCGGCGGGGTGAGCTCCCGTCTTTCGGTCCCAGCTCCTGCCCACCTAGCAGTTCGAAAGCACCCCTAAGTGCAAGTAGATAAATAGGTACCGCTTTATAGCGGGAAGGTAAACGGCGTTTCCGTGTGCTGCTCTGGTGCTGGCTCGCCAGAGCAGCTTCACCACGCTGGCCATGTGACCCGGAAGTGTCTGCGGACAGCGCTGGCCCCCGGCCTCTTAAGTGAGATGGGCACACAACCCTAGAGTCGGACACGACTGGCCCGTACGGGCAGGGGTACCTTTACCTTTACCTTTATTTTTAATATTCTGTTGGGAGCTGCCCAGTGTGGCTGGGGAAACCCAGCCAGATGGGTGGGGGATTATTATTATTATTATTAATAATCAATAGAAGTCCTTCATTACACAGATGCTCCTTTGGCTAGATCTGAGTGTGCAAGAGGCTGTTTCGGATCGACGAGCCGCAAAGCTTCTATTTAGCCGCAAGCTATTCAGTTGCAAACCACCAGAAGGGACACTGTTTTGATTTCAACAGGTGCGTTTTAAGCTAAGGTTATAGTCAGTCAGTTTTATTGCATATAGCCAAAGGCTGCTGCTAAGGTTACAAGACGTCCCCGTTTCCCGGGGACAGTCCCCGGATTTGCAAATCAGCCCCCAGCCGAAACCCTATCATTCCTATTGAAGTTAAAAAGTGTCCCCGGATTCGCTGAGAAAAAATCTGGTAACCTTATTTTAAACCGGCCCTTTGCCCAAGCAAGTCAGGGCTGCCGCTGTTTCGAACCCAGGTCTCCCCCGCTACTGCTGCCGCCGCCGCCCCTGAAAAAAACCAACCCCCTCCTATGAAAAACGCTGCCACGTTCCGAATCCCACCCCTCTCCGGAAAATGGAAACGCAAGACTGCGGTCTGTGAGCGTGTCTGGATTTGGGGGTTTGGGGGTGGGTGGGCGGAATTGGGCATGGCTGCTGGGCCATTTGGGAGGGGTGAGTGGGCGGGATTCAGGATCGGGTTGGGGGGGCGTTTTTTAGGCTTGCTTACTGGGAGACGTCGGCGAAGTGGTCCCTCCCTCGGAAGTTGTCGCGATGGGTTTGGTGTCGGGTGAGATTGCCAGGCGGGGCAGACCCGGGGGGGGCGGCGGCGCCAACATCTGGGTGGGAAGGTAATGCCCGGGAACCTTCACTTGGCCACCTCCATTTAACTAGGGGGGGACACAAGATGGAAAACAAAAGAAGAGACACAAAGCTGGTTAACAGAGCCCTCAAAAGAGCCGACTGGTGGAGAACCCCCCCACTTTGAAAAAACGGGGATGGCGGCCAGGCAAGGTCGGGGAACACGGGAACCTCAGCCAGCTCAACTTGGCGTCCCCATTTGTGACCCCCCCCCAGCAGCTGGTATTTCGAGGTAGACTACCTCTCTTTCAAATCAGAACCAGTGAAGGCGGTGAAGGTCCTGTGTGAGGGTCTGGAGGCGGTTGGAGGATGGATGGCGGCTAACGGATTGAGGTTGAATCCTGACAAGACAGAAGGACTGTTTTGGGGGGACAGGGGGCGGGCAGGTGTGGGGGACTCCCTGGTCCTGAATGGGGTGACTGTGCCCCCGAAGGACCAGGTGCGCAGCCTGGGGGTCATTTTGGACCTACAGCTGTCCATGGAGGCGCAGGTTAATTCTGCGTCCAGGGCGGCTCCGTCTGGTACACAGGATGAGACCCTCCCTGCCCGCAAACTGTCTGGCCATAGTGGTGCATGCTCTGGTTATCTCCCGCTTGGACTACTGCCATGCGCTCTCTGTGGGGCTACCTTTGAAGGTGACCCGGAAACTGCAACTAATCCAGAATGCGGCAGGTAGACTGATGACTGGGAGCGGCCGCCGAGACCACATAACACCGGTCCTGAAAGACCTGCATTGGCTCCCAGTACGTTTCTGAGGACAATTGTTGGTGCTGACCTTGAAAGCCCTAAACGGCCTCGGTACAGTATCCCTGAAGGAGCATCTCCACCCCCATCGTTCAGCCCGGACACCAGGGTCCATTTCCCAAGGGCCTTATGGCGGTTCCCTCATTGCAAGAAGTGAGGTTACAGGGAACCAGACAGAGGGCCTTCTCGGTGGTGGTGCCCTCCCTTCAGATGTCAAGGAAATAAACAACTATCTGACTTTCAGAAGACAGCCCAGTTTAGGGAAGTTTTTAATGTTTTATCGTGCTTTTATATTTTTGTTGGGAGCCACCCAGAGTGGCTGGGGAAGCCCAGCCAGATGAGTGAGGTATAAATATTATTATTATTATTATTATTATTATTATTATTATTATTATTATTTGGTGGTGTAATTTAGGCATAGGACTATTGCTGGACTGATGTGCTTTGCTTTGCGGCATTTGAAAACGCATTCCTTTATTTTATCATTTTATTTTATTTTAGGATCAGCTGGGTGCAGTTGCAAAAGCTGGAATAAAGATCGAGGGGGGAGCCATCCGTGGACCCCCCTATATTTATGAGAAGGGCAGGGGAAAACCACATGATGCTAGTGGGCGGGGCCAGAGGCAAAATGGGCGGGGCGACAAATGCAAATTCTGCCTTTATGCAGTAGACTAGTTTCTTACATGGACTTTCTCACAAACACACATACAGATCCGTCCGGTCAACTACCCCTAGAGTCGCAAGAGAGCGCCGGGACTAAAATAGTTTACCCAAAACTTCACTCCTGTGGTTTATCCCCACAACGGCTATTCACGCTGGGTTTTAATTTAATTAAACGATATCCAGCGACAGAACAACTCGGCCACAATAAGGAAATTCTGCCCACAGTACGACTCATTCCCCACCTAGACGTTTTGACTCTTGGCCGCCCTGTTTGCATAACTTAATAATTCCAAAATATAGACACGCTTTGACTCTCACAAGACTGAATATACTCGAGGGACGATTCCAAAAAAAACCCAATGGGGAAAAAGCTTATGTCCCCGTGGAGATGGCAGTTGCGAATCGGCAGCTCATGTCCTTCCGGCCTGCAATCTTTACAAAGATTTGAGGAGCAAAATTATCACCCCTCTTTTACTGTCCATTCCGGGTCGCCCAACCACTGCTACAGTCTCCATTCCCTCCGCAGATCAAGATGAACAGGCGATAGATAGCAAAAGTTGCAAGGTTTTTAGCTGGAGCGATTAGAATAAGATGTAATTTTAAATGTAATTTAACTTTTTACATTTGTTCTCTGCATACAGCGGTACCTTGGTTCTCAAAAGCCTTGGTTCTCAAACGCCTTGGTTCCCAAATGCCTTGGTTCTCAAATGCCTTGGTTCCCAAATGCCTTGGTTCTCAAACGCCTTGGTTCCCAAACGCCGGAAACCAGGAAAGGTGTTCTGGTTCGTGAACGTTTTCTGGAAGCCGGATGTCCGGCGCGGCTTCCGATTGTGCGCAGAAAGCTCCTGCAGCCAATCGGAAGACCTGCCTCGGTCGCTGAACGTTTTCGGACTTCCGGAACGGATTCCATTTGGCACGACTGTATTTTTTTTGGGGGGGGGGGAGACAAAAACATAGACTGGTTTCCCCCGGACGTGCCGTATTCTGGATACATCCAAGAAAACCCAGATGTACTTCAACCCTATGCAGGGAGACCATACCCAAGGAAATAAAACAGGAGCAAATATGGAAGTGAGAGCTGGACCATCAAGAAGGCTGATGGCCGAAGAATGGATGCTTTTGAATTCTGGTGCTGGAGGAGACTCTGGAGAGTCCCATGGACTGCAAGAAGATCCAACCTCACCGTTCGGAAGGAAATCAGCCCTGAGTGCTCCCTGGAAGGACAGATCCTGAAGCTGAGGCTCCAAGACTTTGGCCACCTCATGAGATGAGAAGACTCCCTGGAAAAGACCCTGATGTTGGGAAAGATGGAGGGGGCAAGGAGAAGGGGACGACGGAGGACGAGATGGTGGGACAGTGTTTTCGAAGCTACGGACATGAGTTTGACCAAACTGCGGGAGGCAGTGGAAGACAGGAGTGCCTGGCGTGCTCTGGTCCAGGGGGTCACGAAGAGGCGGACACGACTAAACGACTAAGCAACAAAAGTAACGTTGGCTCGTAAATGCAGTGTGTGTTTCTGGGAGGTGGGGGGTCAGACCTCCTCTATTCCCCCCCCCAGCTGCCCTGCAGGCAGCCTGAGCTGTAGGTAGGTACCTCTTTGATGGGACCACCTGCTGGTGATGGAGCTGGGAGCCCACCAGGGTGGAGAGCAAGTTGCACATCAAAGATGCCTTTATATGTTATGCTTATCGACGACTGGACCCATCTGTGTGTGTGTGTGTGTGTGTGTGTGTGTGTGTGTGTGTGTGTTTGTGTGATGGTTGCAGAAGGCAGGGAGAGTTTGATTTAGAGACTGCTGGAGATTTCCAGCTTCAAAGCAGTCCGAAATCTCCCTCTGGCTTTCCCCCTCTCGTAACACGCCGTGCCGCTGCCCCGTCTCGCTGCGATCAAACCCAATCTTTCTACTGCTCCTTTCGGCGATCCCTCATAGCCATTTGTCTTCCATAAACACGGTCTTAACCGTAAGTCCGTAAGTGACTGTGGAGGCCAATTCTGGATCCCCACGTCCTTCCACAGTGGGGACATTGGTTTCCGGGCGGGAGTTGATCCCGGTGAGGGTTTGCCAAGCGTGCCTTCCTCTTAGCACATCTCTCCCTCTTGTCCTGAGTTCGAGTGTCTTCAAAGCCCACGACACCTTTGGTCAAGGCTGTTCTCCAACTGGAGCGCTCGCAGGCCAGTGTTTCCCAGTTGTCAGTGTTTATACTACATTTTTTAAGATTTTGCCCTGAGACCTCTTTTGTTGGCCACCAACATTACGCTCTCCGTTGTTAAGTTCGGAACAGAGGAGTTGCTTTGGAAGACAATAATCTGGCTATGCAACGACTGCCGCACAGATGCTACCAGCCCAGAGACGGAAATAAGATAAAGTCCCTACCAGAGAATAATGGCAAACTAAGCTGATGGACTGAAGGGACGCGGGTGGCGCTGTGGGTTAAACCACAGAGCCTAGGACTTTCCGATCAGAAGGTCGGCGGTTCAAATCCCCGCAATGACGGGGTGAGCTCCCGTTGCTCGGTCCCTGCTCCTGCCAACCTAGCAGTTCGAAAGCACAAAGTGTAAGTAGATAAATAGGTACCACTCTGGCGGGAAGGTAAACGGCGTTTCCGTGCGCTGCTCTGGTTCGCCAGAAGCGGCTTGGTCCTGCTGGCCACATGACCCAGAAGCTGGACGCCGGCTCCCTCGGCCAGTAAAGCGAGATGAGCGCCGCAACCCCAGAGTCGGCCACGACTGGACCTAACGGTCAGGGGTCCCTTTACCTTTAGCTTTAAGCTGATGGACTAAGCCTTGCCAACCCCTGATCTATCCCATCTTCTGTCTAAGCAATGCCCCCCTTTCTCAGACCTGCTGGTCCTTATAACAAACCGGTTCCCGAGCTTGACATTTTCCTCTGCCCTCCTAGTTCCCCTTTCCTTTTGTGTTGTGCTTTCGCTGTTGTAGATTCTAAGCTGCGGCTCCCTTGACCCACGGCATTATTTCTGCGGCACCCCTGTGGGGCTCAGGAGCCCAGTTATGTCCCCCCCTTGCCTGCAGAGCTGGCAGCCCCTCAACGTTTTTTGAACACCCTCCCTTGTTGCCAGCGACACCCCTGAACATCATTCAAGGCACCCCAGGGTGCCACGACACACTGAATCACTGCATTACACCTTGGAACAAGGTGTCATATGCCCAAAATGCAGCACGTGTCCCGGGGCATTATGGGAAACTCCAGAGCTGCCCCCTGCAAGATGAAGGGAAGTCACGGGAGTGCTGCTGTCGCCCCCCATAAGATATCTGTGTGCCCCAACACAAGCAAGGGAGCCTCCTCTTTCGCCATCGACACAGCCTGTCCTGACGCACAGACAGCTCCCTTTTAATAATAAAAATAATAAATTTTATTTATACCCCGCCCTCCCCGGCCAGAGCTGGGCTCAGGGCGGCTAACACCAGTAAAATGACAGTAAAAACATAATAATAATTACCGTATTTTTCGCTCTATAAGAGCCTACCTGTCGCAGCTCTGTCTGAGTCTTGGGCAAGCCTAACAAATAATTTTTAAAACTCCCAAGATCAACAATGAGGATGGTGATTTATTAAAATTGTATACCGCCCCAAACCTGCAGGTCTCAGTTCACCGAATAATATGACAATATAAAAATGGAAAATACCATATTTTTTGCTGTGTAAGACGCATTTTTCCCCTCCTAAAAAGTACAGGGAAATGTGTGTGCGTCTTATGGAGCGAATGCAGGCTGTGCAGCTATCCCAGAAGCCAGAACAGCAAGAGGGATTGCTGCTTTCGCTGCGCAGCGATCCCTCTTGCTGTTCTGGCTTCTGAGATTCAGAATATTTTTTTTCTTGTTTTCCTCCTCCAAAAACTAGGTGAGTCTTATGGTCTGGTGCGTCTCATAGAGCGAAAAATACGGTTAAAAAAAACCAATTTAAAATACAGGTTAAAATGCAGCCTCATTTTAATAGTAGCCCATAGATCAAGACCATAAGGGGAGGGAAACAGAAGGGTCAGACTGAGTCCAGACCAAAGGCCAGGCGGAACAGCTCTGTCTTGCAGGCCCTGCGGAAAGATGTCAAGTCCCGCAGGGCCCTGGTCTCTTGCGACAGAGCGTTCCAACAAGTCGGGGCCAGTGCTGAAAAGGCCCTGCCCCTAGTTGAGACCAATCTAACCACCTTGCGACCTCCAAAAGGTTTGGGAAGTTTCAGCCTGGCGTAATGCGCATTTCTACACACGGCCGCTCGGGAAACCGCCGCAGCCCGAACAATCCGCTAGTCCTCAAGAGGGTGAGAAAAACCACGCAGGGGAGAGGGGCAGCGGCGTGGTATCTACCGTGGCCTTGGGAAGAGCGAGTTGAGAGAGATCACCAAGTCCCAGGACTCCCCCCAAACCCCAAAACCACACGGGGACGAGATGGGCGGTTCCTTACCGGTCCCGGTTGCTGATTGGACGGGTCGCAGGCCAGTGAGACGAGGTCTTTCAGAGGGTCCTGCGGGTTCAGGTGCGGCGGGTACCGTATGGCTGTGTGTTGGAAGTAAGTGGAGGCTGTCTGGGGCAGGATCGAGGTGGTGGGGAAATGTAGCGCGGAGGAAGGGTGAGGGCTTCGGGCGATACCTGCAGGGGGCGACAGATAATAAATAATAATAATAATAATAATAATAATAATAATAATAATAATAATAATTTATTATTTATACCCCGTCCCCCATCTGGCTGGGCTTCCCCAGCCACTCTGGGCGGCTTCCAAAAAAATATTAAAATACTGTAATACATCAAACATTAAAAGCTTCCCTAAACTGGGCTGCCTTCCGATGTCTTCTAAAAGTCTGGTAGTTGTTGTTCTCTTTGACATCTGGTGGGAGGGAGTTCCACAGGGCGGGCGCCACCACCGAGAAGGCCCTCTGCCTGGTTCCCTGTAACCTCGCTTCTTGCAGGGAGGGAACTGCTAGAAGGCCCTCGGAGCTGGACCTCCGTGTCTGGGTAGAACGATGGGGGTGGAGACGCTCCTTCAGATATACTGGACCGAAGCAGTTTAGGGCTTTCAAGGTCAGCACCAACACTTTGAATTGTGCTTGGAAACATCCTGGGAGCCAATGTAGGTCTTTCAGGACCGGTGTTATGTGGTCTCGGCGGCTGCTCCCAGTCTCCAGTCTAGCTGCCGCATTCTGGATTAGTTGTAGTTTCTGGGTCACCTTCCAAGGTAGCCCCACAGAGAGCGCATGGCAGTAGTCCAAGCGGGAGATAACCAGAGCATGCACCACTCTGGCCAGACAGTCTGCCGGCAGGGAGGGTCTCATCCTGCGTCCCAGATGGAGCTGCCCTGGACACAGAACTGACCTGCGCCTCCATGGACAGCTGTGAGTCCAAAATGACTCCCAGGCTGCACACCTGGTCCTTCGGGGGCACAGTCACCCCATTCAGGACCAGGGAATCCCCCACACCTGCCCGCCTCCTGTCCCCCCAAAACAGTACTTCTGTCTTGTCAGGTAGAGAGGAGACTGGGTGGCCGGCCTCGCCGCGACACCCCGGACCCCCGCCTGGGGCGCCTCTGCAGAGACCACCGCCGTGGCCTTCTTTCCCGCTACAACCTCGCCTCCCTGCTCCCCGGGAAAGTCAATTTTTTAAGAATCCGCCCGGATATTTTAATCCTTAAAAGGAGGGCATATCCTGGAAAAAGAGGACATATGGCAACCGGGGGGGGGGGCACAGGTGTTTCCACTCATTCCTTGTCAAAGATGGAGCATCTCTCTCTCTCTCCCCTCATGCGCAGCAGGAAATGCTACTTTTATTAAATTACGTTTATTCAATTTATCAGCTGAGGATCACAGGGCCGTTTGCTGCAGAAAAGAATTATGGGAACTGTAGTTTTCTGAGGATGCTCAGAGCACCCTGATGGGAACGGTGGAGAGAACGTCCTTAGTAAAAAAGAAGGACTTTTGAAAATTGTGCCTGGAGCAACTTGAGTCAAAAAATAAGAGGTGGGCTGTGCCAATTTGGACGGCTGGGGCCGAGGAATCACATACCGTATTTTTTGCTCTATAAGATGCACTTTTCCCCTCCTAAAAAGGGGAAATGTGCGTGCGTCTTATGGAGCGAATGCAGGCTGCGCAGCTATCCCAGAAGCCAGAACAGCAAGAGGGATTGATGCTTTCACTGCGCAGCGATCCCTCTTGCTGTTCTGGCTTCTGAGATTCAGAATATTGTTTTTCTTGTTTTCCTCCTCCGAAAACTCGGTGCGTCTTATGGTCTGGTGCGCCTTTTAGAGCAAAAAATACGGTACATGTTGAGAGTCTCTGCAAGCAGAAAGCTAGCAGTGCAAGAACTCTGTTACTTTTCTACTTGCGAGGGGTTTCAAAATGAGACGGCTTCCCTGCAACGCAGACACATGAACCCAAAGTGGCACGTTCCAGCTTTAGGGAGAACTCTCCTGCCTTATTTTGCTGGGAGGGACTGGCCTGGCGCTAAGAAATTGACCCCGACCTACCGCTGTGTACGGCGATGACGGGACGGTGGTGTTGTGTAAAACTGCTCAGCCGGGGCGAAGTATCTTGCGGAGACGGACTGTTGAAGGGAGACTTGTCCATGTCTGGCTTTTTCGGAGAAATCCCTGGGGAGGAATTTGAGGAAGAGCTGACGTGTTTATCTGCAGCAATAGGCCCCCTAAGTTCTGCACCTTGCCCCCTCTAAACGTGCTTTCCAAGGCACCTATTATTTTTTTATTATTATTACTTATACCAGGCATAGGCAAACTCTGGCCTCTTTGGGACTACAATTCCCATCACCCCTAACAAACAGGACCAGTGGTCAGGGATGATGGGAATCGTAGTCCCAGACATCTGGAGGGCTGGCGTTTGCCTATGCCTGATTTATATTACAATTTTTTTGCATTTCAATGAATACAGCCATAACATTCACAACCATCGACTTCCCTTCCTCCCCTTCTACGGTTTCATTCATTTACCAACTGCATATTCTAATTACGCCCCCTATGCTCACATTTCTCTATTCCCCCTATATCTTCAATACTTGTAAAAGCCATTTGCATGTTCTGAATGTAGGCACCCTATATATAGAAAGGAGCAAACCAGGGATATTTTAGGGAGCAGGCGGGGCACATGACTTACATCCTAGGAGCCTACACAACACAAAACGCTGTATGTAGGTTTTATTTTATTGGTTTTTTAGCTTGTATTTTGGAAATGTGCATCCAGTTTTTTCCCCTTTAAATTTTTTTGGAAGCCCCCAAGAAAGTGAGGCCCTAAGCTAGAGCTTGCTTAGCTTATACGTAAATCCGGCACTGAATATCAGGTGTGGCTCTGATTTAATTCGTGAAACTCATCCGCCATTCGATGGCAGAAGAGAAATCGGCTTCTGTAATTCCGGGACTGTCCCTGGAAAAACAGGACACTCGGAGGAGATGGGAGAGAACTGTTGAGTTTGGAAGGAACCGTTAAAGATAATCTATTCTTCAACCCCTTGCAATGCAGGAATCGTTTGCTCAAACCCACGACCTTGAGAATTAAAGAGCCTACCTGTCGCAGCTCTGTCTGAGTCTTGGGCAAGCCTGACCAATAATTTTTAAAATTCCCAAGATCAATGATGATGATTTATTAAAATTGTATACCGCCCTAAACCTGCAGGTCTCAGTTCACCGAATAATATGACAATATAAAAATGGAAAATATCGTATTTTTTGCTCTGTAAGACTCACTTTTCCCCTCCTAAAAAGTAAGGGGAAATGTGTGTGCGTCTTATGGAGCGAATGCAGGCTGCGCAGCTATCCCAGAAGCCAGAACAGCAAGAGGGATTGCTGCTTTCGCTGCGCAGCGATCCCTCTTGCTGTTCTGGCTTCTGGGATTCAGAATATTTTTTTCTTGCTTTCCTCCTCCAAAAACTAGGTGCGTCTTATGGTCTGGTGCATCTTATAGAGCGAAAAATACGGCGCATAAGCGATGGCTCACACAGAAGACTATTAAAAAAATTAAACTTATGAATACGTGGAATAGCTTTGACATCACAGGCCGGGCTCCTAAATCACTCCCCCCCCCATACATAAATCTGACACTGTGTGTGACACCACGCAGAGGGGACCAACTGACCAGAGGGCTGGCACCCATGTGCCCCTGAGCTTAAGAAGGCTAGCATTCCTGCCATCTCCGACGTCCTTCTGGCAACGGGGTGGAAGACAGGGCAGAGAGAGGGTTAATCCCCTCTCGGCTTAGCCCCTGCCCTCCAGGCAGCGATTTATCTGGGGCAGTCGTTTTATGCGGCGCCACTAAAGGGTTTAGCTCTCTCCCAGACGTTCATTGAGAAGGATTTTACAACCAGAACATTCAGTCCGGGATTGAAATAAAGCTCTTCTCGCAGAGGATCTGAACACGTCTCTTGTTGGAGGGGAAACGCCGGCCGGCTGGGAGAGCATTGGTGGGGAAGCCCCGATGTTCCCCACCAGCCAAATGCAGAAACATACTTTAGGGGCAGGACGAGGGTGGTGCTGCGGGTTAAAAAACAGAGCCTAGGACTTGCCGATCAGAAGGTTGGCAGTTCGAATCCCGCAATGATGGGGTGAGCTCCCATTGCTCAGTCCCTGCTCCTGCCAACCTAGCAGTTCGAAAGCACGTCAAAGTGCAAGTATATCAATAGGTACCGCTCCGACGGGAAGGTAAACGGCGTTTCCGTGCGCTGCTCTGGTTCGCCAGAAGCGGCTTAGTCCTGCTGGCCACATGACCCGGAAGCTGTACGCCGGCTCCCTCGGCCAATAAAGCGAGATGAGCGCCGCAACCCCAGAGTCAGCCACGACTGGACCTAATGGTCAGGGGTCCCTTTACCTTTACATGAGAGAGGGGACGTGGGTGGTGCTGTGGGTTAAACCACAGAGCCTAGGACTTGCCGATCAGAAGGTCGGCGGTTTGAATCCCCATGACGGGGTGAGCTCCCGTTGCTCGGTCCCTGCTCCTGCCAACCTAGCAGTTCGAAAGCACATCAAAGTGCAAGTAGATAAATAGGTACCGCTCCGGCGGGAAGGTAAACGGCGTTTCCGTGCGCTGCTCTGGTTCGCCAGAAGCGGCTTAGTCATGCTGGCTACATGACCCGGAAGCTGTACACCGGCTCCCTCGGCCAGTAAAGCGAGATGAGCGCCGCAACCCCAGAGTCGGCCACGACGGGACCTAACGGTCAGGGGTCCCTTTGCCTTTTTATTTTGGGGATAGATTTGCAAGCTAACAATAGGGGAATGTTGGGGCTTCGCCACCAGCCAAATGCTGAACGATACTGTTGTGGATACCTTGCAAGCTAATAATAAGAATAATAATTTTTGAATGGGTTTTAATTGAGATGGATAAGATTTTGGAACGCAGTAAAAAAACCCAAACCATCCATTCTTGCATGCAGGGGGGTGGGACCCACCTAAATTATATAATTTGGCATCTGAATGATTGGGATTAGTAATTGTACAGCGGAACCTCATTTTTTTTGAGCGCCTTGGAAGCTGAACGATTTGGAACCTGAACACCAGAAACCTGGAAGCGAATGATTCTGTTTTTGAACGCGCCTCAGAAGTCTAACAGCTTCCGAGGCGTGTTTCTCCATTTTCTGAATGGAATTTGCTGAGTCCA